TTTAAATACCTTGAAATAATTTGTCCAAGGAGATGAAAGATCTGTACAATGAAAATTACAAAAGATTAAAGAAAGAAGTAAAAGCAGTTACAGAAAAATGGAAGAATCTTCCATGTTTGTGGATTGGAAGAATTAATATCATCAAAATGTCCATACTACCCAAAGAAATTTACAGATTCAATTCAATTCCAATCAAAATACATGGACATTCTTCTGAGACCTAGAAGAAATGGTGCTAAAATTCATATGGAATCACAAGAGATCCTGAATATCTAAAGCAATCTTAAATGACAAAAGCAAAGCCAGAGGCATCACAATACCAGATTTCAAGACATACTACAGGGAAATCATACTCAAAACAGCCTGGTACTGGCACAAAAATTGACGTGTATACCAATGGGACAGAATTGACACCCCAGAATTCAATCCATACATCTACAACCAACTTATCTTTGACAAAGGAGCCAAAATTAAACCTTGGAGAAAGGACAGTCTTTTTTAACAACTAGTGCTTGGAAAATAGGATGTCCACACACAGAAGTATGAAACAATACTCTTACCTTATACCTTATACAAAAATCAACAAAAATGGATCAAGGATCTAAACCTATGACCAGATATAATCAGATTTCTAGAGGAGACCATTGGGGAAACTCTGCAAAATATTAGTATAGGCAAAGATTCTTGGAAAGACCCCAGAAGCATGGGCAATTACAGCAAAAATAGACAAATGGGGTTACTGCAAGCTAAGAAGCTTCTGCACTGCAAAGGAAACACTCAACAAAGAGGCAACTGACAGAATGGGAGGAAATATCTGCAAACTATGCAACTGACACGAATTTGTGCCAGGGGATTCCAATTCAATCCCATCAAGGTGGCATGTACCAGTGCCATCTCACTAGTCCAAGTGATCAATTTCAGTTCACATTTGATCATAATGATAGGTCTAAGAGTCAAAGGGATCACATAAACAAGACTAGTGTCTGCTAATACTAACTGATAGAATTAAAAAGGAGAGAATGATCCAACATGGGAAGTGGGATACACAGCAGACTCATAGAATGGCAGATGTCCTAAACAGCACTCTGGCCTCAGATCAGCCCTTAAGGCATGCGGATCTGGCTGAAAAGCCCATAAGAGTATTTTAGGCATAGAAAGCCAAGACACTCTGGCAAAAATACACAAAAGACCTAAATTAAAGATCTTTGGAGTGAGATCTCAGTGGAAAGAATGGGCCATCAAAGAAGGTGGTACCTTTCTCTGAAGGGAGGAGAGAACCTCCACTTTGACTATGACCTTGTCTAAAGAAGATCAGAGTAGGCGAACTCAAATGGCTTCCATAGCCTTGGCAACTCATGACAAGAGCCTTGGGTTATTACTGATGCCATAAACAAGAGTGTCAATTTGTTAAGTCAACAACAGGAGTCACTGTGCACTTACTCCTTATGTAGGATCTCTGTCCTTAATGTGTTGTCCAATGTGAATTAATGCTATAACTAGTACTCAAACAGTAATTTACACTTTGTGTTTCTGTGTGGGTGCAAACTGTTGAAATCTTTACTTAACATATACTAAATTGGTCTTCTGTAAATAAAAATAATTGAAAATGAATCTTGATGTGAATGGAATGGGAGAGGGAGCAGGAGATGGGAGGGTTGTGGGTGGGAGGGACGTTACGGGGGTGGGAGGAACCACTGTAATCCATAAGCTATACTTTGGAAATTTATATTTATTAAATAAAAGTTAAAAAAAAGAAATTCAAATAGCCAACACATGAAGAAATGCTCAGTGTCTTTAGGCATTAGGGAAATACAAACCAAAACCACAATGAGGTTTCATATCATTGCAGTTAGAATGGCTTTCATGCAGAAATGAAAAACAGTTCAGCACTGTTGGTATAGTGGGTAAAGCTGCCATCTGCAGAGCTCCAACACATATAGGTGCTGGTTAAAGTCCTGGGTGCTCCACTACCATTCCAGCTCTGTGCTACTGCACCTGGGAAAGCAGTGGAAGATGGCCCAAGTTCTTGGCCTCTCCACCTTCAAGGGAGACCCAAATAAAGTTCCTGGATGCTGGCTTTGGCCTGGCCCAAGCCTGGCCTTTGCTGCCATATGGGGAGTGAACCAGTGGATAGAAGACCTTGCTCTCTCTTCCTCTGCCTCTCTTTTTCTGTAACTCTGAATTTCAAATAAATAAATAAATAAATATTCAACAAAGAGAAATAAAAAAACCAATAAATGCTGGTGAAGATGTGGAGAAACAGGTACCCTAATACACTGTTGGTGGGAATGTAAACTAGTACAGCCATTGTGAAGACAGTATGGAGATTCTGAAATTCAGAAACATCTGCATTTCATATTCTGAGATTCAGCTATATGAAAATAGATCTACCTTATGACCCAGCCATCTAACTCCCGGGAATTTATCCAAATGAATTAAAATCAGTGGGTGAAAAAGTTATCCATATCCCCACATTTACTGCAGTTCAATTCACAATATCTAAGATATGAAATCAACTCAGATGTCCTACATATAACATACAATATCAACCCGGATATCCATCAACTGATGTTTGGCTAAAGAAAATGTGGTATATATACACTGTGGAATACTACTCAGCCATAAAAAATGAAACCCTGTCTTTTACAACAAAATGGATGCTACTGAAACTATTGTGCTTAGTGAAATAAGCAAGTCCACAAAAGACAAATATCATCCATTTCCCCTGACCTATGGTAACTAACAGTATGAAAATGTAATGTTTGTGTACAAAATTGACATTTAGTGATTTGATTATTGTTTACAGCCCTTATCTCTACTGTTGAGGAGTAGTGTTTTTTTCCTCTCTTATTATTAGTATAATTATTTACTTAGAGGGTGAAGCTTGATTATCAAGGAGCAATTTTTTGTTTGTTGGTTTTGTTTACTTCTTCATACTAATCAGTGAACTCTATATTTAGTGTAGGATTAATTTTATGAGTATAAAAGTTAACTGAAGAAAAAATAACTGAAAATATGTCATTGTAAAAATTAAAAGCAAGAATAAGAAAGGAAGGATGAGGGAGGGTGAGAGTGAGGGTGTATCACTGTGCTCCTAAATCTGTATATATGAATTACATGAAATTTGTTCACCTTTTATAAATAAAAATATTTCAAAAATTGACATAGCCCAGCCTAGTCCAAGTCTATCAGTTTCTATGGTGCTCTGAAGGGAAGGAAATTTATTGCTTGCTGTGTAGGAGCATCATTCTGGGAGGATCATGTAAGGGCTACGGAAAAGTCCACCTGCTGACAGTATCTCCTTCATCAGAAAGCCTGTTTGTATTAGTGCCAGGGCTCTCACCACTTGTCTGCATTTGGGTTGAAGCATTGATTTGTAAAAATTTCATATGTATCTTGATGTGAATGGGATGGGAGAGGGAGTGGGAGATGGGAGAGTTGCAGGTGGGAGGGAAGTTACGGGGGGGGGGGGAGCCACTGTAATCCCAAAACTGTACTTTGGAAATTTATATTTATTAAATAAAAGTTAAAAAAATTCAAGATATTAATGGGAGTTTATATAGTAAATCTTATTAATTCATCATTATATAAATATGTTCCTTAATCATCTTGCTGGCTTACTATAGAGTAGATGGCAAAAGCTCCAGGGATTCCAGAGGACTGGTGGGTGGAAAGCTCTAAACACATTAGGGTACATAAATGGAGAAGAAAACGTACAAAGGGGAATTCTCCCATGTAACTGAGCTTCCTAGTAACAATTCTGGTTAGAATTAGACTCTTCACTATACCGCTCAAGGATGAAATTACAACGGTGCTCCTGAGATGTTAATATTCATATCTATGTTCATGAAGTTAACACTGGAATTATTTTCAGTTTGATTGTTTACTACTTGGAAAATCAACTTATTTTTAGGTTGCCCAGTTTTCACACTTTATATTTAAATTTAGCTTTGCCTGATTCCATTATAATCTTGGTATGGAATGTAAGACCAGGATGTTTCCTGAGTTTCCCTTTCCTTCTCTTCCTTTCTTACCTTTTTCTTTTCTGAAGTGAAGTGAGGGTTTCTGTCACTGACCGCTGCTAAACTGTGGTGTCCTGCAAACTGGCTTGGGTGCTCTCCTTTCAATGGCTAGGTGACAGAGACAGGGGCACCTGGAGGCACTGACTGGTGTTCTGGTGAATGTGAGTTGCCATGTACAAGAGCAACATTAAGAAAACACAAGAGTCTGACATTGAGGACATTCAGGGTGAGCAAGTTCTAGTTCATACATGAGACAGCAAGGTAAATTAGTAAGGGAAATTGACAATCATTTATACCCACAGCCATCAGCAGGCATCTCAGCTAGGCTGCTGACAAAAGGTCATGCTCACTTGCCAGGATACAGCCAACAGTGAGGCTAAAAATATTCATCTTCAGACATTGTTTTGGTCCTTACGCTCTGTGGTGACAGAGGAGTGTCTCATTTCCTCTCCTTCATCCTCTCCCACCCCTGACTCTTTAGCTCACTTGTGAGCATGCACGTGCTCTTTCTTCCTAAGAACATGCAGAAGCAATAAATCAGCCAGTTTAAGAAGACCCAGCCAGGCCAACACAGATCGATTTCACAGGGAAGTCGATGGGTTGCTAATAGAATTACAACTACCTGTCAAAACAGGGAAAATATATCTGTGACAGTGACAAAGGGCAAATCAATTTAAGAAGAGGTTTTTTTCTTTGAGAAACATAGATGTGGAGTACATGGGTGTCTCTGAGTCTGTAATTGTGGATAGAAGGCATATACTTGGGCTGCTAAACTTAAGGTTATGTCAATGATTCTGGGAGTGCAGACTCTTCTCTTTTTCTAGGTGATTTTCTCTGGTAACTGTAAAAGTTGATCTGTAGGAGAATATAACAGGTAGGAGCTGGCTAAGAACATATTTTATGGACTGTGTTACCAAAGTAAGTTGATCTAGTTATTAAATAAATCGTATGCTCACAAACTGTGTTTTCATGTTTCAGATTTTGTCTCATTTCAAACAAGGGGCTGTGCATTGCCAAGGACAGCTATCTGGCAAATCTTTATCTTGTAAGTCAACTTGATCATTTTCAGAGGCTTCAGAAAATTGTTGGCAATGTGACTTTTGCTTAAAGAAACTTCTGTGTTCAGGCTTAGTGTCACAACAAAGGGAATCTTAATCATGAGTACTACTCCCAGGAGGATCCTGTTGTGTGCTAACATGAGACTTTCTAGGTCAAGGACTTAATTTTTTCACAATTTAGCACATGTTACTTTAGCTCAGCACTATGGATTTTCTGCAAAACAGACAAGGATAAAACAAACAAAAATAATCCTATGTTACAACAAATCTAACGTGTCATTGTAATCAGGAAACACATTGGGTCTCGTATTCACCAAGGCTCAGTAATCAAATGTACCCCCAGTAGACATGCTGCTCCTCCCTTGTTGGAACAGAGCTGCTGTGTGGCAGTACAGACAGAAGTTAACAAACAGAGAGCTGGAATCAGACATATCTGCATTCTGGTCTGATCCTACTAGTTATTTGCATGTCTTGGATAAGCTGTTTTGCCTTTCCAAGGTTGTTTTCCATTCTGTACAATGAAGTTATTAATAGTGCTGAACTCAGTTAGCTGTTATAGGAGTAAAGGAACTAATGTGCATGTCCTCTGACCTCCCAGTGTAGAAGGGAGGAAATTGGTGATGTTACTTATTTCTGTAATCTCTATTCTACTTATGACTATGGTCCAGCAGGCCATATTTTGCTCCAGGAAGTCAAGTGAAGGCTTCTAATGCTTTACTGAAATTAACAGCTATATAAGAAGAACTATACCCATTCCTACATGCTTCACATACACATGCCTCCTTTGGCATTTATCTTAAGGATATTATGTGATTTTCTATTACCATTTCCAACTCTACCTTTAGAAACTTGTCTTACCCATTGACCTTTGCTGCCTGGGAACCTAGGTAAAGAGGGTCAGGGAAACTCACTGTGGTATCTCTAATTCCTTGCATTTGCTGAGTGGTAGCTTATGGCCTGGCATTGAGAACCAAAGATTCAGTCTCTTGTTTTGGCTTGACCTTACTAACGATGGCTTTCATGCACACAAACTCATTCCCAAACCAACTTTTATCATGGGGTGGGGGATGAAGACACAAACTAGATTTAATTACTTTAAAAAATGTTAGATAATAAACATTGACATTAAAAAAATTCTCCTCTTCCAGAGTGGAGGCTGAGAAGATGTGCATCCTTTAAGGCTGGTAGCAAAATGCTGCTTGGTCCAGCAGTTTCAGAATGATGTCTGTAAAGATGGGCAGTAAGATGCTCCAGTGTCAGCTTACGTGCACATCTCTATTGCTTGGGTCCCAACTCCATTCACATTTTGTGCTGCACTTTCATGGAATTCCTCCTGGAGCTGTCCCAGTTTCAGAGCTATTGTCTCACCACCATTGCTTGCTATGAGCGGAATTGACTATAGCACTAATTTCTGTTGTAATTTACTGGTGCTCTGTCCACATTCAAGAACCTTGGAAGAAGTAGTAGGGATCATGGCTGCAGGTAAAGACAAAGATGCAAGTTTCTCTTGTTATTGATAGGACAAAGTATGATTAGTCTTGGTGTATATTTAGCATAATTATGCAAGTGTCTGTACTGAGGGCATTTTTACATTATTACTCTGGAACCACATCTTCATCACTGAAGTGGGACGACTTGCTTCATTCTCTGAAGGATCAGGATCATGACAGCCTAGGGACTCAGTATTGACTATTTTAGATATGATAGAGCTGGGGGAAGAGTGTGGAGGGATTTAAGATTGTTTAGTCCTGCATTGCATTGAAGTTCTTTGTGTAAGCCTATACCACATGCCTGAAATTCCTCTTACTGTCTTGAGGGGGGAACCTAAAAATGGTGCTTGGAAAAATGACCATGAGCTGAGCTTTGTAGTGGAGAAGTCATCTGCTAATCTCAATCCCTGACATGACAATCAAAGCAGGGGTTCCCAAACGGAGGGTCGGAAGGACAAATGTCCAGGCTGACGTCTGGGTGAGGTGCCTGACCTTCTCCTCGGTTTCTGAGAATACGAGTTGGATGAGAAAGCACTGAGGACTCAGGGCCAGGTGACTGGCCTCCACCTCCCACTTCTGTGGCTTGTGCTTGTGTGATGTTTACTGTGTAACTTACCCCAACTCTGCCTGAGGTTTGCAGGACAGCAAGTGGGGGAAAACAGTTGCTGTACTGCAAATGATATAAAGCTGGTTTTAAAGTTTAAAAAAAAGTTATTACTTTTTAGAACCACGGGCAAGAACTCTCTGAGGTGCCATGGTTCTGCAGCCAGTGCAGTAATTTCCTTCTCGGCAGGTTTTTTCTGCCTTTGCCTGTCCTGGGGACCTGTTGTGGCCAGCTCCGTGAGCAGAGTCAAGACCAGCTAGGAGATACTGGTTAATTGCTGAGCGGCTAATCAGAATTGGAAAGGTCAATGGTAACAGGCAACAACTTACTCATGTTTGAAAACAGCAGGTTGTGACAAAAGCAATTTACCTTGATAAATGCGCTTCAGAAATCTAGTGAGCTTATTTTGTCTCCCTCGGGCTCTTTCTGCCCATATTTATCTGCCCCTTTTGGTTTTGGATTCTGTCTCTGGTTTCTGTTTCTTGCTATTCCCCATCACTGTCTGTGACCCTTGTGACTCTCCCCTCTGAGGAACTAGCATGCAGAGAGCATCTGGGTTTTCCTTCCCTGTGGGTCCTCCTTTCCTTATTTCTCTCTCATCTTTACTCCCACTGCCTTTTTCAATCCTCATCCCCTTCTGTCCTAACTGCAGTGTTTATGATATTTTCCCAGGGATGAAACTGACGTGCCTTTGATGTTGTTAGCCATAGTTTCAGCGCTTGCATTACATCTGCTTCTGTAAGAGCCCTAGCTTCTTGCCATGGACCTCATCACTTGTTATGGTGGTTTGAAGATTGCAGGGGCCATGTGTCGCATGAGGTCACCTGTGGTATACAGTGTCCTCTGGCTAGGCCTCCCTTGAGTGCCACTGCTGGCTGTGACATCACTTGAAAACAGTTCCACCTCCACTGCTGCCTGTGCCATCCATGGCCAAACAGATGTCACGGCCAACTCTGGAGACTGAGCTCTTTCTGTGCCTGAGTGGTGCCTGATCCCCATGGCTACTGCTCTACTGGGTCTTCCTCAGAGGAGGAAGGCAGTCTCTGCTCCTCCTTGGGCCCTGCATTGCATACCTAGACAAAAAAAACTCTGGGTGCCTGTCCTCAGAAAGTGCCCCTGTGGAAAGAGATGGCACAGTCAAAAGGGGCTGTTGGGAAGAGTTTGAAGGAAGAAATGTTTTCAGAGTGTTATTAGTTGTTAATGGTTCACAAACCATGTTGGATGCCTTATATAATGATTACCTAATGATCACAGTAACTTCTATATGTTGAATACACAAATGGAAGAATATTCAGGGCTTCTATGACTCAGAATCAAACCCCCAAATCTCTGTATATCCTAGAAGGCCCTGAGCCCTTCTAGACTTGTCCAGTCTGATCCTCAGAATTTCCTCCTACCCCCAAATTCTGCCTTAACTTTTTAAAAATAAGGATTATATTTACTTATTTGAAAGGTAGAGTTGCAGGGAGGAAGAATAAGATCTTTCTTTCATTGGCTCACTCCCCAAATGGCTGCAATGGCCAGTGCTGGGCCAGGCTGAAGACAGGTGACTGGAACTCCAACTGCATTTCTCACATAAGTGCCAGGATCTAAGCACTTGGACCATTCTCTGCTGCTTTCCCAGGTGCATTAGCAGGGAGCTGTATTGGAAGCAGAGCATCTGGGGCTTCGAACTGGTACTCATAAGGGATGCCAACATTGTAGGCAGTGGCTTAACCTGCTATGCCACAGTGCTGGCCCCTCTGCTTTTCTTTTGCTGTGCAAACTGGTTTTCTTCTCATGGCCTTTGCATATATTGATCTCTCTTCCTGGGACAAACTTCCTGCCTCTTCCCTTCATCTGGCCAGTTCATTTCTCAGGCTGCAGTGTCATTTCCATAAAGTGTTTCTACATGCTCTCGTAACAGCGTCTCCATTTTCTTCACAGAACCCCTGAGAAATGAAGGAGAGCAACAGAAGAGCCAGCTTTGGGTACGTGCACCCTGGATAAGATGAAGGGGCTTATTTGCATTCTTCACATGATTGTTTCCTATCCATCTCCCCTCTTGCATGACTGCAGGGCTCATTGCGTGATTTTTTATTTTGTTGCTTCCCAGACCCAGCCCATAATAAGCTAATTACCCACTCTGTGCCAGGGGCTTTTTACTTAGGTAGTGTGGATTACTTCCATTTTCACCAGAATTGGAATGCAGGGGGTTGGCAAACCATTGTTTACTGGCCAAATCTGACCCCCAACTATTTTTATTAATAAAGTTTTATTAGAACACAGCCATGTGAGTTTGTATTGTTTAAGGCAATTTGTGCTACGAAGGCAGAATTGAGCATTTATAACAGAACCGATTTTACCTGCAGAGCTGAAAATATTTATCATTAAACCCTTTACAGAAAACATTTGCAGATCCCTGTATAATGTAACCCAGATTCTCAGTTCCTGGGTGAGGAAACTGAAGGCCAACACACTTTAGTAACTTCCCCATACCTAGATTTCCAGTGACAGAGCTGCGGTGCAAAATCACCACTAACTCTTTTCTTATTTTTCCACACAGATCTGCTGGCTGACTGATGTTTAGGGGAGTGCAGCAATTTTCACAGGGGAGATGATACTTGGCCTAGGTGTTATTTTTCTTTTTGAATTTTTATTGGAAATGTAGAAGGAGGAAGAAGGTGGAGGGGGGAGTGAGAGGGAGAACACTCCCATCCACTGGTTCATTCCCCAAATGCCTGTCACAGCCTGTACTGGGCTAGGCTGAAGCAAGCAGCCCAGAATTCAATCTGGGTCTTCCATATTGGTGGCAGGGATCCAACTACTGAGCCACCACCCTGCTGCCTCTCATTGTCTGCTTTATCAGGAAGCTGGAATCAGAAGCAGAACCAGGATTGAAACCTGGACACTCTAATATGGGGTATAGGATTCTAAGTAGCCTGTTAACTGTGGCACTAAATGCCTAACCCAGGTGGTCATAAAATAAAAGTGGAAATTCTGCAATGGACAAGAGAGGGTAAAATATTCTAGACTGAGAAACAAGTTAAAATAGGGCTCATGTGTTTAGGAGATGGTTGATCAGACTAACCACAATGTGGTGATGGAAAGACGTTGGGGAGAAATTGTCAGAAAAGGACATGGCTGGAATGTGAGGAACCTACCAGATCAGGAGGCCTGAACTTGAGCTTCCAAGTCTGTGGTCTGCTATGTTTATACTTCCCTGGCTGTTACATATTTTGAGTTTTTGTTCTAAATATATTTCTTTTCCATAAATATCTACATGTCTCACTACATTAACAATATATTGTATAAATAAAACATTTTAAAACATACAGATGTTTTTCTGAAAAATCAAATAAATGTTACAATGTTTTTTTATTTTCATTATTAATGGTTCAAAATACTTTTCAAATGCCTTACGACAATGAAGATTTTTAGTGAGAGTATTGTTCCTGAATGTGCTTAATCATATTTGAAGGTCTTGTCTTAACACTTAGTGATACAACCGTTTGATGATATCATTCAAGATTAGTTTTCTTTAATACATGTTTCAATGGTGTCACAACTGCAAAATGGTCACTCACAAAGAGATATGGATTCAAGTGGAAGAGATACATTGTTGGTTTCATCTAGAAATTATGATAATTATTTTTCAAAGCTACCTAGAAATTATGCAAGAGTTTTTGTCTTAATTCATCTGGTATGTTTATATATTCCCTGTTGTCAATTGCTTGTCAATATGCAAATAAGTTTGAAGGTGCTTTGTTCTCATATTATATACAGTGTGTTCACAAGCCAGGGATAACTACTCACCTGGAAATTTTTAAAAAGGTTGGGAAATTGCAAATTTAAATATCTGTATGTGGCATTTCTTGAAGATGACGAGTATCATTTCCACCAACAAAATCATGTAACAATAAAAATACTTATTTGTGAAATGCTCTCTTGAAAGCACAGGTTTCTTCTGTAAAAGAGGTTATTTCTTCCCTCTCTTTCTCACACTGTCACCTTTACCTAGAAGAAACCGATTTTGTGCTTATTTTTTGAAAATAAATACATCCCAGTGACAAGTCTGATTCTCGTTGTTGCTTTCGCTGCCTCTTGTGGCTGACCAAGAGTGCAAACTGGAAATGGGAGAAACGTTTGTCTTGCCATTTTCTTGCTGTTCATGGGTATCATTAGTATTTTCTTTACCCACAGCTTCTTTGAAAGGTCTTCTGAAGTCGTTCGTCCATTTTGGGTGGTTGGTTTAGTTAAAAGTATTCTGTATAACCTGTAAATCCAGGGTGCTGGCATAGGCACACTGCTGTAATTTGTTCAAAAAGATGGATAACTGAAGGCTCCACGGTCAAATCCTCCAAGTTAATGTGTACATTAAATGTTAGAAATCCTTAACTGCTTTCTAATTTTTAGGATAAATACCAGAGAAGTTGTAACATTTTCTTCCCAGCCCTCAATGACTTATCTTGTTCATCCCTGCAGGGTGCACACTGCTTATTTCTGAGTCCGCTGCTCTGAGCACTGGAAAGCAATCGCAAGTTGTTAGATGGGAGACAGGTGACACAATCAACTTCAATTTGTCTTTAGGATTAAATTTTTGTGACTCTGAGTCTAGACACGTTAAGTATTCCCCTAAGGTTTTCACTTTGTGCATATTCAAATAAATAAGTTCACTGGTTTTACATAATGTTATCCAAGCACTTTCAGAAGAGGCAACCACTGAGCCCCCTGATGGTCTGGTGAGCCTCATTAGAATCTCGATGGCATTCCTGGATAGCTCCAAGGCCTTTGCCCTTTAGATTGGAGAATAGGTACTTTGGGTACAAGGAGAGGATGGAGGTGACTTCAGCACCTCTGAATAGAAAGAATAGTTGTGTTCTGCAAGAGACAGGGCAAATGCTTTTTGTGACCCTATTAAAACCAAAAACTTAAGAGAAAGAATTAACAGCTCTGACTCCATATTTACACAAAAAGGAGGAAAAATACACAAGATGAGAAATGACTCTAGGTTAAGAGTTGCTTAAGGACTTATGCCCTTTTCAAGCCTTAATGAAAAATTCTTGTTTAAATAAAAAATAAAAGCATATGAAGATTAAAAACTAACCACTAACCTTGAAACAGGGAGAGAAATAAATGGAGTTAGTCCCTGAGATATAGAAGTTGTCAAAACAAAACCTACCTAGGCGAAATTTAATAGCCATTTTGGGTAAAAGTGCTGTGCTAGTTTATTTTGCAGACCATGTAACCAGGACATGAGGGACTCCATCCCTTGTTAAGCTTACAGAATTACTTTTAAGAGAAGAATTTTCACTATCTCTTTGGGAAATAATTATGTAAAAAGTTTATTGCCTCATTTCATAATTTTTCCAATTACTGTAATTGTGTGAGTTTAGAAGACAAAATAAATTAGAAATTTTAAAAACTAATCTGTGTAGCAGCAAATGGCTCACTGTATGGCATCCAGCTCCAAAATCACACCTTCTAAATTCTTGAGCAGTCAGAAAATACAGTTTATGTCTTTGGAAAAGGAATATATAGCTATACAGAATACTAAGTTGGAATCTTAACCAAGGTATCAAGATATGATCGATATCAGACACTGGAATGAGTTGTGAGACAGAGCATATGTTTGGAATTTCAAAATAGGAGATTAAAATCTGATTTGATGACTCTTCAATTCTATACTCACTTTGAGTATAGAAAAAAATGGAAAGGATGAGTGTTTGTGGACAGGGAACTACATGGTAAAGATTTTCTTTGGAGAAAAATGCTGTGTGAATTGTGGGTTTTGTTTGCTCCACAAGGAGAATGAGGAGTAGGGGCTTGCCTCTTGCACTGATCTTCAATAAGACCAATAACAGAGATTTTGATGATCTTAAAGTGTGTCCTCTGTAGCTAGCCAGACACCATGGACAGCGTCTGCTCCCTGTCTGGGGAATTCAGAAGATGGAAGTGGGTTGCTTTGCCACTGGAAGGTTGAATGGCATATATTCCCTGATTTGTTGAAATAAGCAATGCATGTGTATTTCCCATGACAGATATGAACAACAAGAGAGTTGATGTAGCAGTTGTCTTAGGTTCTGTTCAATAGAGTTGACTAGAGGGTTAAGGGAACATCAGCAGATAGAACACAATGTGGGTACTCACTGATAGAGTTGCAGCAACTGAGAAGAAACCAGATGATCAGCAGGATTAAAATTCATTGCCCAATTTGAAGGAGTGACAGTAGGGGATCATGGTCACACTGTATGAGAATCCCTGAGCAACTCTCAAGTGTGCCTCAGAAATAAGAACTTTAAATACCTGACAGTTCCCAGAGCATGGAGCCTCCCAGCAAGGCTACCGATCAAGGGTAAGCTTCCCTTTCTTCCTTCTTTCTCCTACCTTCCACAGTAAGATGGGGAATGAATGAGGTTTTGGATGTGTAACACAGGGATATGAGTGGAGAAATGGGACAAGATGATTTCATCTTGGGTTTGTGACTAAAGGTGACCAGTGTGTTTTATAATCTGACAGTGAACTGAAAAGCTTTGGGAATGCCCGAAGTTTCATCTGAGAAGTGAAAGAAATTTTCTTCACCAAGTAAGTTTTATAAGGATTGTAGGAGGCAGAAGTAAAGATGTTTGCTGATTATATTCCTGGAGCTCTATTTCATCAGCATCCTGGATCCAGAAAAAAGAGGCCACAGGACAGGAGAGGGTCACGTGTGGTGTTTCAACCTCTTCCTCTGGCCGCAGTTTGTCACCATGGGGGTAGGGTGAGGATACAGCTGTGAAGTAAGAAAATGCTATTTCTTTCTGTTTACAAGGAGGGATACTATGTTCTGAATATTTATGTCTCTCTAAATTCATGTACTGATGGGTGGGCATTTAGCCTAGAAGATAAGATGTCCCATATTGGAGTACCTGGGTTTGCTCTAGCTCTGTTTCCAGCTTCCTGCTATTATAGATCCTGGGAGGCAGTGGTGATGGTTCAAGTAATTGGGTTCCTGCCACTCATGTAGAAACTCGGATTGTGTTCCTGGCTCATGGCGTCAGTCCTGCCAAACCCTGGCCATTGTGGCATGTGGGGAGTCAACGAGCAGATGGGAGCTCTGTCAGCTTGTGTTATCTGTCTATCCTTCTTCATTCAAATTAAAAACAGAATATTGAAATCCTGATGCCAAAGTGATGGTATTAGCAAGTGGGGCCTCTGGAAGGTGATAGGTCACGAGGGCGGAGCCCCATGAATAGGATTATTTGCCTTATAAAAAAGGCCCCAGAGAGCTGCCTTGCTCATTCCACATGTGAGAACACAACAAGAAGAGATTATCTAAGAGGAATGGGTTCTCACCAGATCCTGAATCTTATAGCACCTTGATCATGAACTTTCCAATCTCAAGAACTGTGAGAAACATTTCTGTTGTTTATATGATGTATAGTTAATAGTGTTTTATTAAGGCAGTCTACATGGATTAAGACAGGGTGGTTCAGCAGTATCCATTAATCTCTTTATCAATGAAGTGTTAAGGCTGGCTGATGTTGTGCACTTGAGGCTTGGAATGCAGGACAAGGTATAAGTCCTCCCAGTGTTTACATATGTCTAATGCAAGCACAACTTCCTGTACCATTATTGTGTGTGTCTGTGTGTAAGGATATGTGTGATCCAGGGAAACATCAGAGACTCCTCCCAGTCAGAGGAGGGTGGTGGGGAACTGGTGAGACTCAGTTTACTGCAGGTATTAAGATTGCAGACTTTGGAGTCTGGTTGTTTGAATTTGAATATTGGGTCCTTGGGGAAGACTAAGTTCTTACTTCCTCATCTATAAAAGGTGTAAACTACTTACTTCATGGCATTATTATAGTAATTAAAGAAGAGAACTCCCCACGGAGTCTCTGCTATAGTTCTTGGCACCTGATGAATGCATAATGTTGTGGTTAGAACAGAATTTGGCTTCCCAAACCTGTGCAGAAGTTTAAACTCCAAAGTCTTACATTAACAATTAATGAATTAATGTCAATTTTTGATGGGTTAGGGGGTAGAGACTTGATCTAACTATGGTGCCTGGGAGGTGGGAAGTCTTCAAGTCTTTGGGGGCTTGCTTTTGGAAGGTGTTCTCAGGAGAGAGTTGGTTGTAAGTGAAAAGCTTATAACCTTCTCTCTGCTTCATGGCTCACCATGCAGTCATTCCTTTGCTATGCCCCAGGTTGGTCAGATGCCTGAAACAATGGGGCTACTCAATCTTGGACTTGTAAACCTCCAAGTCTACAAACCTTCCTTTATAAGTGGCTTCTCTCAGGTATTTTGGTTGTAGTAACAAAAAGGTGGACTAATACTTTCAGTAGCTGCCGGCTAATGTTATTCTGTGTTTCTAATTCATACAGACTATTCTCATTAGTCATTGTATTTGCATTCTATAAAGTTGCTTAACACTGAGTTAGTAAATACTCCTAAAGGATATATGGAGTTAGGTTCCTGTAAGCCTCTGGTCACAACATTTCCATCAACTAATGAAAACATAACCTTGTTTTATGTGTACTTCTTGTTAAAGATAGCTTGTTTTACATATATTAGTGATTAATTAATGTTGGAAACAAAGCTGAGAGCTCTAGAACTCATGCCTGAATAAGATGATCTAAAACACGCATTTTCTCTCTAGGGAAATTTTTGTTTTTAGGAACACCAGACAACATTTCAGCACTACAACTGAGGGTCATTTTAAACAGCAAAACCATCAGCAAAAAATGCAAAAAACATTTCACTCAGTCCATTGTGAAAAGGATACTTGTTTATGTTTCAAGAGAAGAAACATGAAGGCAGAGAATCAGCTGGGATTGTGCACATTGGGTGACTTGAATTGTTTTGTACTCTGCACATGTCTGCAAATGACTGTGAGAGTTTCAGGGTATTGATTTTGGGTACAAATAAATTTTAGTGACTAGGCAAATTTACAACTATGGAATATGTGAACAAAGATCTAATGACTCTATCTGGGTAACAAACAACTGGTAATCCAAGGTCTGTTAACTCTCTCTGGTAAAGGGAGAATGACATGCAGAAGCAGCTCATTCTGTCCTT